CATTCTGAGAAGCTACTCAGATACAAAAAGTTAGTATTCTCGAAACAGAATTTACTCAGAATCACTTCAATTTCTTTTTTCACGGTTTAGAAAATTTTATCAAATCTCCTCAGCCTTGAAATTAATTTCAAGGACTTTTAGATATGCATTAACTTACAAAGCTAAATATCAAGACTTCTAACACGTGGCTGTTGTTTGCTAAATATAGCTCTATTTTCCACTCATATGATTAATTAATAGAAAACAGATTCTTAATCTGGGATCCACAAAAGCTATAAAGGGGACTACATGAATTACTTTCAATTTTTCAAAAAACACGTATTTCCCCTACATAATACACAAAATAGTGAAAACCAAAGATTTTCTTGGTTTTAACTAGAATTCTACCAACTCAACTCATTTTGGTTATACTTTATCTCAGGTAAAGCAAAAACTCTGACAAGTGGTAGAGAAATCACAATTTTAAAAAAGAAAAAGTAAATCAGTGCTTTGAAATGTACCTCAAAAAAGTGCTGTACGTGGCGCAATGTGGGGAGAAGATAATAAAAGGGAGAAAAAGATTAGAAACATTGAACTAGATACCAAAAAAAACAAAAAACTATCCTAATCTCATTGATGATAACAGCTGTAGCTCACCTTTAGGAACACTATCACATTTACCTCTGCCAACATTTTGAGATAAGCTCTGTTATAACTACTCTTTTATAAAGCCAGGGTTCAAACTTATGTCTATTTGGTTTAAATTGTGGAATTATACTGCCTCTGAATAATAACTACTGTTAACTTAAGAATCAGAATAACTTCATCTGATATATCAGGGGCTGGCTGATCTAAACCTGAAAGCATTGTTAATACGTATAAGACTTTAGAGGGACTTCCCTGGTGGTCCAGCAGTTAAGACTCCGTGCTTCCACTGCAGGGGGCTCAGGATTGATCCCTGGTTGGGGAACTAAGATTCCACATGCCTTGCCGTGTGGCCAAAAAGTTAAAAAAAAAAAAGACTTCAGACTAAAAAGTTCCTTATCAGTACAGTTTATTACTTTATCAATCATTGTACAACAAACAGTCAAGCTCATTGACTTTTTCCTCCACGGCTATTCGTTCTTAAATTGGCTTCTCCCCTTATCGCTATACTTATATTACTTCTCTTAAGGCCTCCAATAACCTATCAATTTCCAAATTCAAGGGATGATTTTCATTCTCACCCCTCTTGTCCTTACGACAGGCCAGACCCAACTGACTATTTTCTGCCACTTAAAAGTTTCCCTCCTTCCCTGGACAACACTCTCTCTCAATTCTATTTTTTAGCTTCTTTCCCTCAGTTTCTTTCAGCAACTGAACCCTCTCTCTCCTCTGCACAATCCATAAATGCAGGGGTCCCCCAACATGCAGTCTGGCACTTTCTTAAAGAATATGATTTACTAAGTTGATTTGTTCCCTATACATATTTGCAAAAATCTTTCTGCATTTAGATTTTAAGGAATTTTTAACATTTTAATCCACAGTACTTCACTAAACTATAAACACCATGAGGGTGGGGTCTATTTGGTTTTGTGGTCCGTAACATAAGACACTCGGTGTTTGCTGAAATCACGAAAGCTCCCTTTGGTGTAACCTAAAACTAACATCTCATTGGAGCAGCTGGTAACTAAAATCATGCTTTTTTTTTTTAAAGTATGTGCTAAGTCACAAACTTTCTGGCCCAAAAAATAGGTTGGACTAGATGAGTAGATCCCTCCTACAGAGCAGATAAAGGTTTCATAGACCAGCTCTAAAATTCAATGAGTCTAATAATTATCAGCTGTTCCCAGATTATCTTTAAATCATCACACCTCTTCCTTAATAAATACAACCTTGAGTAATTTTGTTGTTGTTGTACTAAAGAACTGTGAAATATCCCTACTACCGATGAAGCATGCCAAATTTAGTACTTTAATTTCAGGGTTAAACATACAAAGGATCAGAAGCCTAAAGGTGTGTGAAAAGAAAATCACTGTAAACACAATAATCGTGCAATTCTTTTTTTCAATTTAGAATCATAAAATCTTAGAAACGGGAATAAACATGAAGGTTTTGTTTAACTTCCTACTCAACCAACGACCCTTTCTACAGAATCCTTGATATTTTTTGAAAACCTGCCCGAATACTCAATCCTTTTGTATTCTAATTAACTCTAAAAAGTAAATCTTAGGCATATGACTGAACCTAACACACACAGAAGGCTTAAAAAGGGTTGGTTAGGTAGGAGATAAGTAGAAAAATGTTAGAGGTTTTTTTCTCTTTTCAATTTCTCAACCATTGGTATAATAATGCTCAAAATCTCAAGCCACATTAAAGATAAAAAAGCACACCAAGATCACTTCCAAACTCAGGTTAATTAAATACAATAGTATCAATTCAGTACTGACACGTGTATTAAGAGAATCAGTGTAAAGATATAGGGATTGTGTTTGACTATGTGCTGAAGTTGCCAGCAGGAACAATCTCAATCCCTTGGGACCTAGCACAGGTCCAGTCAGGGCACAGGCAATCCTTAGCAGGCAATCTTTACTTCCTTAAGTTCTCTGAAACAAGACATCTCTCAGCTCATCTCTTGATGTCCAAGGTCCCTTTCACCTCCATAATTCTTCCCACAGAACATGTCATTAAGGAATGGCATGACACTTCTGCTAGGGATGGTACATGATATGGAATCATGTGTTTGCAGACACTAAGTGAAAGAGTCTTCAACTAATCTGAAAAAAAGTTCAGAGTAATTTAATAAAGAGGATGACTCTCAAAAGCAGCTAACTATAAAATATTTTGTTTTCTCCAAATCAAAGTTAAGCCTTTTGTTTGACTAATATTGTATCTTTATTAGAGAAATGATACCAGTTGTAATGATTCGAATGCTATTTCAAAGGTCAGTCTCATTTGGAACTTGTGAGAACCTAAAATCCACAGGTAAAGCATCTTAGGTTATAATCACTCAAGCAGCAGACCAATGTTGCTACTCATATAAAGCTAAGTTCCCTAAGCCAATCCTCAACATAAATTCAAAGAGAGGAGTTCACTGTGACAGCTACAAGCTTTCCGTGAAAGGCTGTGATAGTTTACCTTTATTTGTACTGGAAGTCTTATCACAAATGGACTTTTCGCAGGTTCCTCTCACCACCACATTCCCTGGGCTCCCCCCACCAGAAAAAACAAACAACAACAAACAAGCAAAGGTTTTTAAAAACCAAAAACTTAGTCTCATCCACATACCAAAAACTTAATCTTGTCCATGTTAGTCACTAAAAATCGTTCCTCTTGAAGGAGAAAAGCAAAATACAGTTTGCAAAAATAACCTACACGTCTTTTGTACGTACATACAGAAGGCAGACGATACAAGGCACATCAAAGCCAGATCCATTTTAGTGAATCCCCTCCAGGGCCCAAATGTGTGTATTATGCAACTGCCACCATTCCAGACTTTAATCCCTGTCTGTGATGCAGTGATAAAATACAGATGACCGGAGTATAATCTACTAGGTACGTTCGTATATTTGCGAGGAGACAAGTTAAAACAAGAATTACCAAATTCTCTGGAACCGTGAAAATGACGGAAGGTGTAACAGTTCTAAATCACAACTTTTCCTTTGGGTAGTCTTTTAGCAACCTGTCCCTACCCCCCTCAAAATCCTCACACGAGAGCGTTTTCATTGAGGTTTTGAAACGATATCCCAAAAGAGGAAGGGGTAGTGGTTATTTTAGAATCTACTCCAGGTAAAACACTCATACCACTTTCCAGAAGCTGAAAAGCCAGTGAGATACTTGACCCCCTCTCCCAAAGGGCGATAATGGGAGTAAATGTAATCCAGATCCCTGAGCCATAAACAAACCAAAGCTTCACCCACTGATTTCCTAGGACACAGGCCTCGAAAAATTGCATAATGGGCAGCTAAGAATTAGAACAAAATTGTAATGACCTACATTCTAGAACGGAATCTATACAATACCTATTCCAAAAGTGGTTAAAGGTAAGAGCGGCGGTCAGAGCATCCGTGGCTGAACCCGAGTCCAAACGCTTCCGCCCCACCAGCCACCAGGTCCGCTTGCCCCACGCCGAGGCGACCGACCGGGCGGACAGGCTCCAGGTGAGAGGTGGGAGGGGAGGGGAGGGGAGTAGAGGGGGCACAGCAAGCAGCAGCTGGGGAACGGGCCGCGGCGGGTGGAGGAAGGAGAAAGAGGCATTCCCTCACACAAAATGGTGGCGCTGGCGCGGAGGCCGGCGCACCTGGGGCGTGCCACACGCCCCTCGCGGGAGCAGGCCAGTTGCCCGCAGCTGGACGCGCGCCCCGGGCCCGGGTGGCCGGCGTGGGCCTGCGGCGCGCCCGAGTCCTCGGGACAGCCCGCAGCTCTCGGTCCGCGTCACCGCCCTCGCACGGGGGTGCGGGGCCGGGGCCGGCGGGGCGCAAGGCCGGACCGGGCAGCCTCGGCCTGGGCCCGCGGCCCCCGCCCGGGACGGGCCGCGCACTCACCTCCGACGCGCCGCCGGAGCCCGGGAAAGGAGGCGGAGCCGCGGGAATGAATGAAGCCGGCGGCGGCTCGCTGGCGACCCCCGGCCGGGCCCGGGCCGCGCCGCTCGCGGCTGCGGGGGCCGGTACAGCCGCCTGCCCCTCGCCCGGGACGCCCAGCTCCTGGTCGGCGGGTCGGCCGCAGCCCACCGTGCCCTCCGCCAGCGTGACGCACTCGCGCCGCAGCGCCTCCAGCCTTTGCAGCCGCGCGGCGCCCGCGCCCACCGCGAATCCCCCCGCCCGCCCGCGCCGCGCGGCCCCTCCTCAACGCCCGGGACGCCGCCCTGCCTCCCGCCGGGCTCGCAGGTTAGGCGGGCGCCGGGCAGGTGCGGGCTTGGCCGGCCGGAGGGCGCCACGCGGCCGCCGCCCTGCCACCCGCGCCCTCTCTCCCCGCTCCCGCCGCCGTCGCTAGTCAGAGCGCGACGCCCCAGCTCAGGCAATGGCCGGGTATTAAAGAGTGACCTTGGCTTAGGTATAAAAATAGGTGCGGGTAAGCTGCGGGGACCACGACGCTGAATTTGCGTATTCCTTTAATGTCAACATTCGCAGGATCCCGTTTGCACGCCCCAAGGAGTTCTCCTCTAGCGAGGGGCGGGACCTCCGGGAATTTACCCAGGGTGGGCGAGGCCTGCCGGCCTCGGACAGGGATGCGGAGAGTGCGGACGAGGTCCACAGGCCCCCGCCGGCCACCTCCCTCCGAAACCCACTGCCACACTGGAGGATGGAAGGCGAAAGGAAGTCGAGAGGCCCCTTCACAATTTGGACAAGCCCAAGTGCCCAGACTTCCATCTTGAGATTACAAGGAACCACCAGATTCCTGCGTTGAGCTTTTCTCTTTCAGAAACTAGAAGGGCCGCGCTCCACCCTCCTTCGCTTCCTCTTCCAATTCATTTCCCTTGATTTAGCGCCCAGGGCCCTTTTGCTAATTACACTCCCACGGAAGAAAGATAAACTCTCAAGTATTTAAAGCATGGTAGATTTCTTTAAAGTAATGCATGCCATGGTTTAAATATGTTTAATAAATGTACTGAGGAATAGTATGTGAGTAATTTTAAGACTTCCTATTATCCATAAACTCTGGAAAATAAACTCATCATTCAAGAGGCGTGGCATTGTTTTTGGCTCATCCAGTACCTTTGAAATTGCTTCTTTAATTCCTCAGAAATATTTAGCAATCATAGTACCAACCTTTAATGAAGTTACTAACGATCAATGAGATCAATAAATACTTCAAAGAATACTTGTTGATGCAGATATTTGGCTCAGAATTTTTTCGTCCAATAGACTTTTCTACCTTCAGTTGCTCGTAAGAATCAACCTCACATCTGTAATGTTTTTTTATTTGTAATATTTAATTAGCAGAAATCTTAAATGTTATACATAAAGTAGTTACCATTTTTGTGGACCTTAACAATGAACTAGATTTAATTGAGCAGGAATTTCGAATAGTTGGGTTTTTTTAAATTTTTTAATTTTATTTATTTTTTTATACAGCAGGTTCTTATTAGTCATCCATTTTATACACATCAGTGTATACATGTCAATCCCAATCTCCCAATTCATCACACCACCATCCCCACCCGCTGTGGCTTTCCCTGCTTGGTGTCCATACATTTGTTCTCTACATCTGTGTCTCAATTTCTGCCCTGCAAACTGGTTCATCTGTATCATTTTTCTAGGTTCCACATATATGCATTGATATGCGATACTTGTTTTTCTCTTTCTGACTTACTTCACTCTACGACAGTCTCTAGATTCATCCACGTCTCTATAAATGACCCAATTTCGTTCCTTTTTATGGCTGAATAATATTCCTTTGTATATATGTACCACATCTTCTTTATCCATTCATCTGTTGATGGACATTTAGGTTGCTTCCACGTCCTTGCTATTGTAAATAGTGCTGCAATGAACATTGGGGTGCATGTGTTTTATCCACAGCAAATCTTGAATGAATGAAGTAATAGAACTCTGGAATTTATATTTCTAGGGCTGTATGTAAGTCGGAGTCCCCAGGGCAATTCCAAACAATTGCCAATTGGGAAGATGTTCTTTTGGCTACCACACTACAGGTGTTGAAGCCTTGGGCCATAGAGTAAAGCTAGCCAATGCAACTTTTTACATTTGAAATGCATGAGTGTGATTGGCTTTTAGCTATTATTGTAGTCAGTGGCTACTTGTGCCTGGGAAGCCTGTCTTTCAAATGTCTGGCCACTCTGTTAGGAATCAAAGCCGCACTCACCTAGCCCTATAAAAGAGAGGGTCCAGTGGCCCCTCATTCAAGCAGCTAAACCCAGCTCTCTTCCTGCAGCAAGGAGCTTTCCTGCAGAGACCTGCTAAAGAAGTGCTGTCTCCTACCTATGAGGAGTGTCCTGTGAGGAAGGTCTGGCTTCGTTCTCTTTACCTGCAACATGATAAGGCTTTGAGTGTTTTAAGAAAAAAAAAATCACCATTTACGTTCCTCTTTGGCTGAGATACATGAAATCTTGCTTCTGTGTTTACCCATATTCTGAAGATCCATGTGCTCTTAGTGTGCAAAGAATTAAAAAAACAAGTCTTTATCAGATTAATACATGCTGTAAGTCACTACCAAATAATTTGAAATATGCTTTGACGCTTTTGTCTAAAAAGTTTTGTAGCAAGTAAAAGGATTATTGCTTTGATCTTTGTTGTTGCATATGCTTGCTTTAATTATTATTTTGTTAAGTTATAAGCAGAAAGAAACATGTTGAGTTCTTACTGCATTGTTAGTATATGTCAAAAGTAGAATGAAACCATGTTAAGAGAGACTTGTTACAACACTGGACTTTGGAGATTGCTGATACAAATGACCCAGAAAAGAGCCCTTAAACTGTAGTGGAAAAGAGAAATTCCTAATGGCTAAAATAATGGCTAATGTTTTTGATTGTTACCAAATTGCAAGGCACTCTACTAACTTCTTTGTGGAAATTAACTCATTTAATTCTAATAACCATCCTTCAAGGTACATACCAATGTTATCCCCGGTTTACCTACAAGGAAATTGTGGCACACAGAGAAGCTAAGTAATTTGCTCAGGGTCACACAGCTAATAATCCTGGCAATTTGGCTCAAGAGCACACTCCCTTAACCAGTGTTCTATACCACCTTTCATGGACACAAAATCTTATGCCATATGATTGAATTTCACTTTTGAAGCCCTAAAACATACCAAATACCAATGCCTCCATGTTTAAATGATTTCTTAGATCCAGTAGTATTTTCCTGGACATGAAGAGGGAATTAAACCCTTGGTTAGAAAGAAAACTTGTAAGACTTCCTTACATATATATTAAGCAAAATTATATAATCTGTTAGTTTTTGAAAAGCAAAAAAACCCAAAACAACAAAAAACCCCACAAACTTTTAAGGTTAATTGCTCTCCAAGTTTTTTTATTTTTCAGGTTCCAGAGAGCAGTTATAAGTTTTATTTATACATTTATTTAGTGAATGGAGGAAACACATTTCCTGAGAAAAGATTCATCACCATCTTTGACCCTCCATTAGACTTAGATGGGTAGAATTCGGGTCCAATGTATACAATACACATGTTTTAAATTCATAAAATTACAATGAAAAGGTTTTCATGACTGTGGTAGCCCAGGGGCTTCTAGATCTAAAATATTAGCAAGTTAGTTAACTAGTTAGCTAATAGTGTCAGCCATGGAAAATGGGAAGCGGGAAGGTAATCTTTCCTACTCACCCTAGAAGAATGCTTTATTTTTTCCTCAGGTATATAAAGTATGTCACAGGAATGCTTTAATTATTAAAAGCAGTATTTTGTTGGGGTTTTCTTTGTCAAACACTACTACTATCTGGGGATTTCAAATTCCTGAATGGAACTATGCACTGAGAAAAAGAAGAAAAAAGATCCTGAAGAACAAGAGAAATAACAGGTCTGAGAAGACCAGTTACATTTGTTCTTCTGGTCTGGTTTGATCTAATATGAGATACAAATTTAAGCACAGAGTATTTGGTAAGTTTAGGCTCAGTTTAAGAGAAAGAAGATGTGGTATTTTTCATATTACTAAAGAAAAATTACATATTTATATCCATATATAGCAAGATGCCTAGTTAATATCCATTTTCCCCTTCTCTCTGCCAGACCCAATTTTGTTCAGGGTGGCAATGTGTCTAACCAAAACTATTTTCCTTCCCAGACTCCTCTTGCAGCTTATGATCATTTTGGTCAATGAAATGTAAGCAGAAGATTATTTGGTATGGCTTTCCAAGAAAGCTTTTTTTTTTTTTTTTCCTGATAAAAGACACGCTGAGCTATCCCTTTGCCTTTTGCCATTTGTGCTTTTTTCTCCTTCCTGCCTGGAAGACAGCCTTACCTCTAGGATCAGAGCAGCCGTCTTGTAACCATGAGCTGACCATGAGAATGAAACCCATGTATTAACTATGCCAGAGTCAAGATATAGTAACGTGGGACAATCATGACGTGATGGAGCTACCACACCAATTCCAGACTGCCTACCCCCAGTCTTCTTGGTCACTTGCTGACAAATGCAATCCTCACTAAAATTCAAAGTTAAACACTGTCTCCTTGCTATGGCTAGAAAAAAAGAACACACTTCTATAATATGTATACTATCCTTTATAGATGCTCTTCTATGATTTTGCTGCTGTCTTAAGGAACTGCATTTTGCAGAAATCAGTGCTCTCTGTGACTTACCTACCTAGTATTTGATGAAGAAAACACACTACTCCCTGACCATGAAAAGAATATCTTATACTTGATCCTTTAGTGCATTTGATTTTAAACATTTCACACATGACCTCAGTAAGTCTGGAATATCACTGTGAGGAAGGATAAGAAGTGGCTGTAGTAGTCTAGAAATAAGTTACTGGCCAAAGTAATCGCCATGCCAAGTGTATAAGGAATATACAGAAAAGTATAATTATGTGTTTCATTTTTAATTAAAAACAAGTAGAAGAATCAAGGCATCAAGAGGGATCCTGAAATGAGAATAAGTTAGTCTGTTCTTCATAGAAAGCCACCTGGCAATACATATCAAAAGTGATGAAAGTGTGAATGTTCCCCTTAATACTTAAGGAAAGTTAAAAAGAAGAAAAAATTAACTACAATCTAATGTTTTTTATTGAGTCTATTTCCTAAAGTGGCTATTGAATAAATGACAAGAAAATAAGTAAAAATTTCAAAACAGTGAAAAAAAAGTTATGTACATGAAGATGTCACTAAAGCATTTTTTTTAAAAGCCAAAATGTATAAATAGTACCATGAATGTCTAAAGAGGTATATTACTATTAATCAAAGAAATACAAAAAAGTTTGCCTATCTTATTGCAGGCAATAAGAGGTATTATTTTTAATCACTAATAGCAACCACAAAGCTTATTGAAACAGCTACTCACTCTATAATAGGTTGGCATGCAAATGGACCGCCCATCTGGAGGCAAAGTATCATGGTCACCGTTGTCATTGTTGCCGGGTTACATTTATTAAACACTTATGTACCAAACATTGTACTAAATGTTTTACTTAAGTTATCTTGTTTAATCCTCACACTATCTATTTCAGGTAGATACTATATCCTTATTTCAAAGATGAG